CTCCCCCTGCTTGTGTTCCCTCTCTCGCTGTGCCTCTCTCTGTCAAATAAATAAATAAAATATTTTAAATTAAAAACAAAAAACAAGTCCTTGTCTCTATCCCAGTCAGGGAGGCAGGTGTGGAATCAAGGAGGAAAATGTACAGAAAGGGTGGGACTGGGTTTTATCCTGACAGTGGACCCCGACTAGCAGTTCTAGCCACTCACAGACCTTCTCGGCCTCAATTTGGAAAGCCTTCAGCCCAGGGCATTTGGAGTTGGTTCTGCTTTTATTTTTGGTGGAATTTAAGTTCCTCTCTCCAGGGTTTTTCCCTCAGTATACAGATTGTATGGGCAGAATTTTTCAGGAAGCTGACCGCATCGCCCTACATCTTCAGAAACCTCAGCTGGAGAGGCCAGCATGACAGTCTCAGTCCACGGTTCTGGTGCGTGGGGTCACGGCGTGGGAGGTGGAGGCAGTGATTGATGCCCAGGGAGAAAGCACAGCTTCTCCCTGGGCCACCACTGCAAACTCAGACTGATGGTGGAAATGGTTTGCAGAAGAGCAGACACATAGTTTGTGATGTACTCGTTGAGAGACTATTACATTTTGTAAATTTTGAAGAAACTCTCCACCCCTATTATTAAAAACCTAGGTATTTTTTATAACACTTTGGGTCAGTTTCTGTACCATTAGAAAACACAAGCTTTTAGAAGTGTGTAGGTCTATTATAGTTTATATTAGACGAGAAATACAGTTTGTCGTGTGGCTATTCTCATTCTGTTTAAGTAAACTCTGCACCCGACGTGGGGCTTGGACTCAAGACCCAGAGATCAAGAGTCACATGCTCTGCCGACTGAGCCAGCCAGGTGCCCCAAGTTTGTTTTCTTTTAAACTGTCTTTTTCCATTGCGTTTGAGTAGATAGCACAACAGTACCAACTCCTGAAATGAATCTTCTTTTGCATCCCAAGGTAGTCCCTTTTCAGGAAATTGTCTGTAGTGGTTGCTCGCAGGTTATCAGATGTCTTTGGTCAGTCCCATTGTAGGGCTGGCTAGCAAACCCCGTCAGTGTGTGTGTGAGCTGGTTGTGTTCTGGGGTCTGTGTTCTGTGCAAAAGAAGACTTGCCAGGGGGCATCTGTGGCTTAAATGGAGCACGCAGAAGAACATAGCAGTGATTATTGCTCACAGCCAGCGTAAGCTCAGAAGGTGTGAACGGTGTGTTATTTTAGAACAAACTGAGGAAGCCAGTGATTGAGTGGGAGTTGGTCATCATCAGCCCTCCCCAGGCCTGCATAGTGGAGAGCCTGGGGTGATCTGACTGGCCGAGTTTGTAGCTGAGTCTCAGTAGCAATCACATTAGGTAAATCCTTCCCTCCTCCCCCAGTCTGTTCACATCAAAGTGTATGGCAAGAAGTGACATCTTGCAGTAATTCAGAAGATTCAGTAGAAGTATGCTCTTTACTTGCTTATTATGTCCCTAAAGACAATAGTTTATACATTTTGATTTTTAGAGAATTTTTAATTCACATAAAGTGTTGATTGAAAGGATATAGGGTTCATTTAGCATTTATTTCTTGAGTGGGCTTTTTTTTTTTTTT